GATTCATATTGCATATTCTACTATTTAACTTTGTTAAAGTAATAAACAATTAAAATATCCATCAAATAGGCCTACACCTAGACCGGTTGTAGTTTTGACCGTGTGTATTACTCCAGGAAAATAAATAAATACAAATAAATAAATAAACGCACTCACCTGCTGCTCTCTTCATCGTCCCAAAATATTATTCATGACACATATGTGACCATCAGCAAAATTTTCGCCGTTTTTCTGTGCATTTCTAGAAGTTTAACGACACAATCCAAAGCGATGTTTTCAGTCCAGTTTAATGAGGAAAGACTGATCAAATTCTTTGAGAGGCTCAGAGAGGGCGGGTTACATCTGTACACACGTGCCTTTGTGTGGAACTAAAGCAATTCCAGTTTCAGTAATCTCACTCCCTCCCATCGTCCGCGAGACTGCCTCTGTTGATCCAATTCCGACTGCGTTCATAAAGGAAAAAGTTCCATAAGGCGTTAATACAGAGGGCATTACACGGAAATAAAAATCTATTTCTGTGCTGAATGTAGTATCCATGTCTGTAAAAGAAAATAAATCTGTTACTGATCATCTGGTCAAGACGTGTTCAATCGCCAACATTACAGTTTTCAAAATCTAGCCTAAATGTTATATTGGCTAAATTTGAAAAATATTTTGCGATAAATTGGATTACAGCTATGAATCCCAAACTCCTTGTTTAAATTTTGCATCCATGTCCACAGGTCATAAGCCCTAAGTAGCCATGCTCGATTTGTGAACGAATCATCAAGGCAACTAATCGATTATTTTGGATCAGATTCGCGAATAATCACGAATACTCGAGTCGACTCACGATTCATTGAACTGTATGTTTCATTCGTATTGAGCCGATCAGGAACCGACGAGCAAAGTGGACGTGCTCTAGATATGGTTTATTAGAGCATGTTAGAATATGGATGTCTGGTGGTGTGTTTGAACAAATCATCTGATCCAAATAAAGGCCTACATGCGTAACGCTATGGCGTTCAGTGAGGCGTTTTCAAACCGTGGGCGTCTAAAGGTGGGCCTCTATATTTAAAAATGCCCATATCGCTTTGAACGCCTCTAATATAAACGTCCCTTTTTGTTCTACTACAGAAATAGATGCAACATCTATCCCCACCTAATGAATCTTTTTGGTGAACCGTTTCAAAAGTTCCGAGTCGCTGAAGCAAGCTAAAAAAAAGCTCTAACCTTAAACCAGGGGCCGGTTGCATAAACCGATTAGACTAGACTTAAAAAGTTAGTCATCTAATTTTTTCTCTTTAAGACTGGTCATAATTTCTTAAAGTCAGTTATAAAAAGGGAGAATGGTCTCATTTGAATCCAAAAGGTAAGTCTGATTACCTCTTGGCTATCAACTAGTTGGTCAAACTAGTTCTTAAGACACAGTCTTAACACAGAGGCTATGTTTATGCAACTGGCCCCTGAATGAACAGATTCGCGAAATGAATTGTTCTGTAACAATTTTGCACTCATATAAAGGAAGTACATCTGTTTGAGGTACATGTCCACAGGAAGTCACAAAATCAGCAACAGGTCTGTATTTGTTCCAGATAGGCTGTCGGGTTGTGTATGGTGCTTTTTTTTTTTCAGGTTACATATTCGCCAATAGATGGTCTTTATGTGTATTTTAATAAACCCAGAAAAACTACATATTACATACCCCAAATTGTTTAAAGACATGGAGCCAATGGGGAGTTATTGATGAATGAATTGTACAGTGGTGTCCTCTAGTGACTGAGAAGTCATTTTCAGCCAAGGTCCAAAGTCTGTCAGCAGTATTTCAGAACATTTATATACCTGTACTGAAGTTTGTGTGATATACATTTTAAAGTCACAAGGGTTCCCTGATAGCACATGTACTAAGGTGTTAATAGATGTGTGTTGTCCTTGATAAATAAATAAATACACTGTTTATATTTTATTTTTTTATTATGCATGCAATCATATTAAACATGTACAAATACAATATATACAAATATTAAATATTTACAAATATTCCATTAAACATAAATATGCTACATAAATGCTTTAAGCCGCTTGGTCTCAACTGCTGGTCTTTTGTTTGCCATGCGCTGCTTTTTTTCTGGAGGTGACTGCCGGCCCACAGCTGCATGATCCTGTTGAAGTAACAGACATGATGATGAAACACTGAGCAGATTTAATGAGTGATTCTTAGAGAAACTCTAAAGACATATTGCTTCTATCATTAGGGGGGGTTATTATTTAAAAAGAACATGATACTTGTCCCAGATTAATTTACATATTAAAATATAATACATCGTTTTAAATAGAAGACGCAGAAAACTTTAGTGTTTAGAAAACTTTAGCTTTAGTGTTTCAGTTTTTAAACATGTCTAAGTAAAAGTGAGATAGAAGGAACTAACCATCTTCAGGGTGAGCTGGGATCTGGGCTGTGGGGCTTGATAACATGATACTTGTCCCAGATTAATTTACATATTAAAATATAATACATCGTTTTAAATAGAAGACGCAGAAAACTTTAGTGTTTAGAAAACTTTAGCTTTAGTGTTTCAGTTTTTAAACATGTCTAAGTAAAAGAGAGATAGAAGGAACTAACCATCTTCAGGGTGAGCTGGGATCTGGGCTGTGGGGCTTGAGGGTTAAATATAAGTAAGTAAAATAAGTAAAAACGAGAGATGGAAGGGATTACTGATGCTTTCTGCTGCCTCCGCTGTCTCCACTGCTCCCGCCGCTTCTGCCTCTGCTGCTCAGTGATTCTGGGATTTGCTCCCTGTTGTGGGGAACTTATGGTCACAAGTGCTCCCTGTAGGGTCCCAGAATCCACAGGCGCCACGCTTGAGGTCCTGGAGGGCATGGGTAGTGCCTGGGTGGCAGAGACAGGAATGCTCTGATGCTCAGCAAGCCTCCGTTTTCTTGTCTTCATGGTTCTGGAGGGCACTGTTGCTCCTTTCAGAGGCTCAGCGGGCACTGTTGCTCCTTTCAGAGGCTCAGCGGGCACTGCCTCTGCCGGTGGAGACCTGGCAAGCACTCCTGCTCCCAAATCCTGCAGCAAATCCTGCCTCAGCGGCTCAGGTATCTTGAGCCTTTGCCTCTCTGGGGTCCTGTTGGACACGGGTGTTCCTTGAACAGAAGAGGCTTGAGGCTTCTGCTGCAGCAGGTCTTGCCTCAGTTGCTCAGGGATCTTTGGTTTTGGCACCTTTGGGGCAGGCATAGCTTCTCTCTGTAGAGACTTGGTGCGCATGGGTGTGTCTTGAGGTGCTCCCTGTGGGAACCTAACAGGCACAGGTGCTCCCAGTTCAGAAGCGGCCTTTAGCAGATGTTGCCTCAGATACTCAGAGATCCTGTGCTTTCCTCTTCGTTGAGAGCCAATGGTCACAGCTGGTCCCTGCGGGGACCCAGCAGGCTCAGGTGCTACCTGAGGCTTCTTCTGGCTCCACTTCCTTTGCTGTTGCCTCCCCTGCTTAGTGATTTTCAGTATTTCTTTAGATAATTCTGAGTCCCCACACTCAGTCTTCTCAGACCCAGCAAGCACAGGTGCTCCCTGAGGCTTCTTCTGGCTCCACTTCCTCTGCTGCTCCGTGGTCTTCATTGTTGTATCTGAGAAGCCTAAGTGCGGAGACTCAGCCTTCTTAGATGCAAAATAAGTGAAAGATCCAAATAAGTGAAAAATACACAATACAGACTTTGTCTTTCTGTCTGTAAACACTGTGACAGAAACAGAAAGGGAAACATACAAGCTGAGTTGAGTAAACATACAAGAGCCTGCAAGTTGGTTGTCTAAAGTTTTTTTTCCTTTTTCTTTTTATACAGTGTATGCACAGTAGGCGGTCCATCAGCTGAGTTTTTACTTAATTTACCAACTAATCTGCATAACTCAGATGCTTATAATGTAAAAGTATATACTGTACCTCCTTCTACATGCATATCTAATCATTGTAAGAGGTAGCTATTCAACAATCTTTCAGTATCAGCTTTAAGAATTAATTATAATCAAGGAGTGATGGATGGAGTTCCTCACAAAGACAAGATAACATATATGAGGCTCTGTATTTATGAGTAAATGTTTATGGTCATAGTCTGGGTTTGGCACTGCAAGATTTGTTCTGTTTATATAATATACTGAAGAGTGTTGATGGAGAGATTATAATGCGTCATGAAATATCAAGAATATTGGAGGATATCATCCGTGTATAATTATCAACAATTAAAAAAAAAAAAAAAAACTCAAATCAGTCATTGCTTTGATCATTACTAATTTACATATCTGAAACTTTCCACACGGACCTCCACTGTGTAGCATGCGTTACCCCATAAAAAAGTAACTACTTCTTACTCTTTATGGGAAGTAATGCATTACATTACTTTTGCGTTACTTTTTTGTCACATGAGCACAGCTTGCTTATTTGATTTTTAATAACAAAATACCCAAAAGTTATATTTTTGCCAACTGTAAAGGCCCTTACACAACAAAAGTGAAATGAATAAACCTCAGGCTGAAGGAAGGGTCTCTGCCTCTACAACTCACTCCCAAATTCTCTCAACATGGGGAAGAAAAACAAAGTAACTCAGATATTTTTATATTTTTAAAAGTATCAAGTAAAAAAGTTAAACTACCATCTTCCTGCATTTTTTATCACGTGCATGCGGTTCATCACATACGCCGACATGCGGGAGGATCATTCTTTTCTCTTTGCTGTTAACATTGGCATACTGTCTAATTCTAACGTTTGGTAATATTTCTATTCAAAATCGTGATTCCTTGATTTATAAAAAAATAAAATCGTGACAAAACATTAAGTTCGAATTAATCGATAAAATCGGAACAATCGCCCAGCCCTACTTCAAACTTTTAAATATAGTGTACATCTGTTCTTTATTATAGTATAGGATATTCCAGATTACATCATTTGTAAATATTACTTGTTGATGAAGTTTAAGATTCATTAAATATATAAAAAATATATATAAAAAGAACGTTGTTTTTCATTCTCCACTTGCCTTTATTAACAATTTTCCATCCTCCATTTGCCAAATATTAACAACATATATCTGGATGTGCACAAAAAACTCGTTACAAAATTCTGCCCAAAATGGTTAAAAGGCTCAGAGCCTGTGGAGATTGTGGCCAGTAAATTATGTGGTGTTTGTCAGAACAACACTGTTTCTGACTGTCATCTGTGGAAAATCTTTCAGAGACGTGTGGAATAACTGCACCTGCACCTGCCTGCAAACACTGAACCTGCAAGAGCAGACATGCTAGCAATCTGCCAGAGATGAAGCTGCGCTGCTGCAGATCCACCGCAGGAGAACAGAGTTCACAATCACAGTCACCTGACATTATCGTCCAATAGATCTGCAGTCTGTGTCAGAGATCACATGATATCTGTGCTGAGACTCTCCTGTCAATCAAACCTGAAATACTTCTGAAACAAAGCAGAGACAAACAGCGCCCCCTAGTGATTCAGTGACAACTTCAAAGTGTTTCTGAAAGTGTGTGAACCTGCAGTGAAGATGGATGATCTCTGACCCACAATGCATCATTTCAGGCAGATGTTTCCGGTCTGGTAGTCTCTGCAGTGCAGCTCTGGCTGTTTGTGGGCGTCTGGGCGTCAGTTTTTCAGAGCCTATTATTGGTTTATGTTGGATGTCTGAGTGTTGATGATCCTCAGTAGCTTCTGACCTGAATTAGGAGAATATACTGTAGTCAGAAATCTGTTTAAGCAATAATTCACCCAAAATCAGATTTGACAGGAATGACAGGACGCACCATTGTGCTCTAAGAGGACTGGTGGAGGGTCTGTGAGGTTTGTGGATGATTTGAGGACACGCAGTCTGAGATCTTACAGTCATCATGCTCTCAGTCCCATGAGTCTCCTCTGATGCTCTGGCTTTACTGACGTCTGCAGGATGAGCTCTGAGTCTCCGAGTGCGGAGCTGTGTGATCCTCCGGCCAGCAGGGGGCGCTGCTGCTGCTCTGGGTGGAGGAGAGGGAGACATCGAACAGCCTGATGAAGAGCTGAGTCTCAACATCTCTGCAGATTCTGACAGAAAGAAGCACAAGATAAAAACATGAAGAGACTCATGAGCATCATTTATATATGAGAGAAATAACCTGACGCACCTGCTGAGGGACACTGAACGGACCAATCAGGAGAGCTCGTGTCTCTAGTGATGTCATCGCTGCTGAAACTATGGCTGTGACTGCCTTCATCATCATCTTCATCATCGCTGTGGTGGATCCTCATCACCTGCGGCTGCCGCTCCTTCTCAATAACCAACAGACGTCTGTTAAAAGAAAAGCACATTTTAACAGGAAGTGTGTGTGTGTGTGTGTGTGTGTTTGTGTGAGTGTGTTTGAGTGTGTGTGTGTGTGTGTGTTTGTTTGAGAGTGTGTGTGTGTAAAGCACATTTTAACAGGAAGTGTGTGTGTGTGTGTGTGTGTGTGTGTGTGTGTGTGTGTGTGTGTGTGTGTGTGTGTGTGTGTGTGTGTGAGTGTGTGTGTGTGTGTGTGTGTGTGTTTGTGTCTGTGTGTGTGTGACACTGTGTGTGTGTGTGTGTGTGTGTGTTTGAGAGAGTGAGTGTGTGTGTGTGTGTATGTGAGAGAAGGTTCAGTACTTGTTGTGCTCAATCCTCCAGCTTCTGAGTTCAGTAAAAACATCCCTGTGATCCCGGCTGCTCCACTCTTCATGCTCAAACGTGTGTTCAGGAATGAAGTTACTGATCCGTGTGCTGGGACGAGTTTGAGAGCTGGAGTTTTGGAGCTGGACAGTTGTTTTGTTTTCATGGGGTGATATACAGTATAATATACATATATAATTCTATTGGTGTCCGTGATTAATGTACGGTATACGGATCAGTTTGATGAGATTCACCTTTATTTTCTGTCTTCGAGCTCGAGCAGCCTGTAGTGGATTCCCACAGAGAACTCGCCCAACACCTGTGCAGACACCACCGTCACGTATTACTTCCCAACACACAGCACACACCACGAAACATGTCATATTCTTAATATTACAGTTATTGTAGCATAAACTCATAATCACGTGTATAACCGTTTATGAGAGCCAATAGGGCTGCACAATTAAGGGGGAAAAAACGTATTAGATTTTTCTGATGAAAATTACAACTGCTATTTTAAAATATAATAATAATTATTATTATAATAAATAATAATACTAATAATTGCTTGTAGTAATATACATTTATGTATTATTACTTATAACGATAACTTATTTGAAATATAATAATAATAATAATAATGATGATTATTATTATTATTAAAAAAAAGAAACATTACTATTAATTTATTAATAATCGAAATAATAGCTCAATGTTTGCTGTGCTTGTTTGTAGAGCTGCACAATTTGGCCAACATTTAGATTCTATGTCAGTATGACTATAATAATAATAATTTTATTAATAAAGACAATAACAATAATTATTAATATTGTTATTTTTTATTAATAGTAATATTATTAGTAGTATTATTACTACTAAAAAACACTGAACAAAATGTATTACTATTAATTTAATAATAATTATTATTATTATTATTTTAATATGATTAATTGTATTAATTATTATTGAATAAAACATTAAACAATTATTATTATTATCAAAACATTAAACAAAATTAATATTACTACTGTAACATTTTATTGTAAACATTTGTATTTAATAAAACATACAAATAATAATTTCATTTGTTCAGTACAACTGTCAAATCATAATGAAAGTGAAAGTGACGTGACCCATACTAGGAATTAGTGCTCTGCATTTAACCCATCCAGAGTGCACACACACAGCAGTGAACACACACACACACCGTGAACACACACCCGGAGCAGTGGGCAGCCATTTATGCTGCGGTGCCCGGGGGGCAGTTGTGGGTTCAGTGCCTTGCTCAAGGGCACCTCAGTCGTGGTACTGAAGGTGGAAGAGAGCGCTGTACATTCACTCCCCCCACCAACAATCCCTGCCGGTACGAGACTCGAACCCGCAACCTTTGGGATACGAGTCCGACTCTCTAACCATTAGGCCACGACTTCCTCCGAGAGGAGCATAATACTAATATTTATGGCTTTCTTAACGGCTTGATTTTTAAAATCACACTAAACCACAGTGTTTCTGTTAAACACGCAGCTCAGATTAGTTTAGCGAGTCCTGCTGTAGGAACAGAAAGTGTGGTGAGTGCAGGAGTTTACCGTTGGTCAGATCGCTGGCCTCGTGGTTCAGGACGGTGATGTTGGAGCCGGTCAGTCCTGGTCTTGATCCGCTGCAGGAAGTGAGAGGTCTGGTGCTGTCTGGACGGCTTCTCAGATCTCCAGGCCGAGCTGAAGCAGGTCTGACGCCGCTCTTAAACACATGGAGTGCTGCTGAGACAGTCTCCAGAAGCTGCTGTTTGTCTTTACCTGTGTCTGCATCTGTGAGCTCCAGGCCGTCTCTGATGGATTCTCTGAGAAGAGTCCAGTCCTGCAGTGAAGCTTTGCAGCGTTGAGGTTTGTCCTCTTCAACAGGAGCGTCATCGAGGAAGATCAGCTGAGGGATCAGCTCACGCACCGCAGACCTGTAGCTGTAGCCCGAGACCTGCAGCACAAACCACATGCGAGGAATCTGTCTGAGTATGATTGCATTTTGCAAACCAAATTTATCATTAAAGAAGAAAAACAGAAGAAAGATGGTGATCCTTGAAGTACCTCAGAGGCTCCTGGAGCGGGGCAGGTGCACACAGGGTTTCCTTCCAGTGAAAGTGTCCTGAGCGTCACACAACGGCCCAAATACCACAACTGAGCCTGATCTTCAACCTCGTTCTCCTCCAGATCCAGCAGCTCCAGATCCTCCAGCAAACTGACTGGACTCAGGTCTGAGATGCTGTTGAATGCCGCATACAGCTCCTTTAAGGAGGAAAGAGCAGAAATCCCCTCCAGGTCGGTCAGACCACATCGAGCCAGACACAAGACCTGCAGGAGGGAGAAGCCGGTTCCCAGATCTCGCACGGATGAGATCAGGCTGTTGCTCATCTTCAGCTGTGTAAGTTTGGGCAAGTAGATTCCTGTGAGAAGAGCCGACAGAAAACACACATATTCATCAGATTTCTCAGATGTGGTGCATTTATTCATAAACCAACCCACAGCCCAGTCACTTCAGATCACATTACTGTTCCTCACAATGTTCTTATCGCCAGAATAACTGAATAAAGAGTTATTGTAACACATCTGACCGAAGTTGTCCAGAGTCTCCTCTCGGGTGTCGACACACATCTCCAGCGACCACACTTCTTGTAACTCGTCTGATCCAGACAGGATTTTCTGAAGGAGAAAGCCTCTTTATTTCAGATGTAATGAGCTGTTTGGACACGGGTTCGTGTCTTCGCTGAGCTCGTACCAGTTTCTCCGCTGAAAGACTCGGATCGAGCAGCAGCTCTTCAGCAGCAGCAGCAGGTTTGGGGTTTAATGAACCAGATCCACTGAACTCAGTCACGACGGAGAGAGCTGTGCCCGGCCTCTTCTTTAGCGACGACTCACCAGACATTTGCAAACTTTATTGCAAAACCCTGGAATAAAACTCTCCGTTTGGGAGAAAACGGCAAATTCAATGAATTTAGTAGCCTAAGTAAGCTGTTCAAATGACATGCAATATATATTTTATACAGTTTCGTTCATTTCTTACCTTTTGAGGCCAAATAACGTGATATTCAGTGTAGCATTTGTCTTTTGCCTCACTGTACAGCAAGTGGGAAAGTTTGCATAGCAACGGAATCTACTTTCTTGGATACTAAATACGGGGCCACCTGGGATTTGTAGTTCATTACTATACGTGGCGTTGTTTAAAATAATAAAAATGTCTGTAGTAGATGAATGTTGAAAATGTAAAGAATAAATTAAGGGAAGGTTCATTTTAAAAAATAATTAGTATTTCTTGACTGAATAATAACAGACAACATTTGAGTTATTATGAAGCTTTACACAAGTGTTCTTATCAGTGTTGGTTAAAATAATAAAAATGTCTGTAGTAGATGAATGTTGAAAATGTAAAGAATAAATTAAGGGAAGGTTCATTTAAAAAAATAATTAGTATTTCTTGACTGAATAATAACAGACAACATTTGAGTTATTATGAAGCTTTACACAAGTGTTCTTATCAGTGTTGGGGGTCACTCATTACAAGTAACGCGAGTTATGTAATCAGATTACTTTTTTCAAGTAACTAGTAAAGTAACGCATTACTTTTTAATTTACAAGAGAATATCTTAGTTACTTTTTCAGATAAGTAACGCAAGTTACTTTTCTTTTTCAATTTATTGATTGACAGCTCTCCTGTCCCCATGTTGAGAAATCAGAAGATTTTAATGTAGTTCTAAAATAAATATGAATATGCATTAATTCATCTCACCCACAAAAAAAACACAGATTCAGTATTCCTCAAAATGAATAAAAATAATGCAACTCAGAATATAACACAAGCCTGCGATAAATAAATATTAAACAACACAAATATGCTTTATGTATTTAATCCCATTCTATTAACCAATGTCTTCGATGATCCAGTTCAACCATACTAATAAGCAAAAATTACTCTAGACAGACATTTGTGTGTGTGTTTTTACTGCTGAAGTGTGTTGAAATGTCTTCTTCTGCATTCTACTTTACTTTCCCTTCAGCCTGAGGCTTCACTTTTGGTGTGAAAAGGCTTTTATATTTACCAAAAATATAACTTTTTTATTTTAAAAACAAACAAGCAAGCCCTGTCCAGATTTAAAAAGTAACGCAAAAATAAAATAATGCATTACTTTCCATAAAAAGTAACTAAGTAACTTAATTAGTTACTTTTTTTATGGAGTAACGCAATATTGTAATGCATTACTTTTAAAAGTAACTTTCCACAACACTGGTTCTTATGTGATTGTTGTGGCACCCTAAATAGTTCACTGTGGAAAAACAATGTAACAGTCTCTCCCTCGATATATTCCATAAACAGATCACATAAGCAACATCAGCAGAAAGAATAAAAAAAGCCTGGTCAGGATATTTACTCAATTATTTGATGACAGAATCTGATGATATGATAATAATGTGAACATATCACTAAGACTTGGCAGATGTTTTCAAAACTCAACCGAATGTAGGCCTACTAACTAACTAATTAAATAAATGTATTTTGTTTTTTTTGTAAGGGATAGAGTTAGGCCCGGGGTACTCAACAGGCCCGTCTGCAATCATTTTGTGGCCCGCGTCATGCTGAAGATTAATGTATTTTTATTATAATCTGCGCTCAAAAGTAGCACAAATATTAGGCAGTGTGACTTTTTCTTTGTCATTTAAATGCAGTTGATACTCCTGACACTTTGCATTGTGTAAATGGCAGATGGTCCTCTTAGTAGCATGAAAAACAAACTTGTATTCAAATTGTGAATGGGTTAAAGCAAGCAAAAAGCACTTCATTACAATGAATGGAGCTGTCATCACGTCAATGTGCTCACAGAGTTTTGCGCCATTGCGAAACCTCGACTAGCATTGGATTATAAATATACTTTATTATTAAGAAAATACCAGAGATGGCTTGAAGAACGCAGATGAACCATATATTGTTGCGTCTTGTGTTTATTGTCTTCATGTTTAATCAGTTCAAGCGATTCTATTCTCACTAAAGAAATCTGTGAACTATATTTGCTCAAGAATGTTTTGAGTTAGAATATTCTGAGATTGTTTAATACTCTGTTTGGGTATGAATACATTGCATTGATACAGCAGGAATACATGCATTGCATTGATACAGCAAAACAAACTGTTAATCCACTTTTTTGTTCCCAATTTTTTTTAAATGTTTCATTTTCATGTTCAATATTATTTTAAATAGGACAAGGAAAAGCAAGACTTAGGTAAGTAATAAACTGCATTTCTAAATCAGTAAAACTGCAAATATTGTCTTAAATAAAGTCTTATAATGCAAATTGTAAGTTGTGGCCCTTCACATTTTATGTGGTTTAAATGTGGCCCCCTTGACCTCTGAACTTGAGTACCCCTGGCTGGGCTGTATCTACATTTTATTTTTCCAAAATAAAATAAATAATTCAATAAAATATTAAATTGACATCAAAATTTAAATAATTTTATTGCAAGGGGCCAGCCTAAACATGTAACTTAAAACATTTACGTTACATTTAGTCATTTAGCAGATGCTTTTATCCAAAGCGACTTACAAATGAGGACAATAAAAAAACATAAACATATATATATATATATATATATATATGTTTAAAAAACAAATATATAAGTTTACCAGTAATAATAATAAAAGTGCCAAAATGTTAACAGATAGCAGTAGCACATGCTTAAAAGTAACCTTTTAAATGATTCAACTTTTTTTTATTTAGATGTATTTATTTATTTAAAAATAGGGCGTGGGGACTCAGAAAACAGTTATAAATTAATAAAAAAGAACTCTACAATTGTGACCTAGTGTAGTCATAAACTTGCATTATACTGTAAATAATGAAACAGGAAGTGTCGCACTCCAAAAAAAAAAATATATATATTTTTACATTTGAATTGCTGTGTGCAAGCCAAGGATGAGGATCCGTGTTCTGGCGGGTGTAGATCGTACTAATCCGATTGGTTGTTGTGTTTTTGGAGGCGGGACCAAGCCTTGTGATTCTCGGTCGATCAGCCTCTCAGGCGCTGAACGAGCCACTTTTCTGGAATCGGCGAAAGATACCGAGCAATGTCACCAGGATCTACTTAATATTCATAAGCTGAGCCTTTGCCATAATAGGATTGGTGACTGGGCCGAGGGGCGGGGCTGTGTGTGGGGCTGGGCGTAGGCTGTGCTGCACACACACACACACACTACAGCGGAGCACATTGTTCACACTGGACTGTCTGCTACATCTAATGCAATACAGGAAAAGCTGGAAAGAATCGAAATCTCCTGGAGAGTGACTGTATCCGGGGAATCAGAGGTGAAGTGAACAGTTTTTGTTATTAAAGCATACATCGTTTGATTGCAGTGTAATATTGTAAGAAGACCAAGTGGACCGACTCATAGTGGCCAGTATTGCTTACCTAAAACACATATTTGTATTAATTTACACACACAGTTGGACGATATTTATGGTGATTATTGGTGCGTTTTTATAAATGCATGGATAATGTTTACATTTGTATGAGCGATCAGGCATCGATGGTCCTTATGGATTCCAGTACTATTCTGTAATTTTAATAATCGGCGTTTTATTTTAAATTATTTGATGAAAGTAGAAAGAAGAAATCATGTAGTATTTATTTAATTAGTTTATATTTTATTTACCCAAACCCGGCCGTTCAAGCATCTAAACACTGAATCAGACTCTAGTAATCGATCAGACTGACCGGTGCTTCTTCTCCCGCCAGCTTGCCGTTACCGGAAAAGATTTCACGTCTAACACTGAATGTAAACATGTTGTGTGTTGTCTAGTTTGTTAGGTTTTAGCGGCATCCATGTGACAGTTGCGAGCCTATCTGTATAAACTCGGGTGACGCCCCAAAGTACCGGACGAACAATTGCGAAGTCTACTATGACTAAGACGATCTCATGAATATTAAGCATCCATCCCAAGTTTGCGTCGTGGCGGTCCAATGGCGAAGGACCGTTTGCTGAATACTAATTAGCTTCCGCGACGTCGGTTGGTCGCGCGCCAATGGCAAAGGCTCCGCTTATGAATATTAAGATGCAGGATTCACATAGTAGGATTCGTAATTTCTGGACGATGAAGAGCAGTGCGGAAGTTTAATAGTCTGTTTTAAGCAGGCCAATCAAGTTAAGTTCGCTTAAGTACAAAAGTTTGATATTTTATTGCAGTAAAATCCTGTAGTAGATTTTTTTTAATACTGTACAGCGTGTTTGTGGATTTTCACTGTTTACAAAGTGAAAGTAAACAAATGTTCTTCTGAAGCCTTATAGACTGTTAACTGTTATTTAAAGGTCACATATTGTACACCTTTCTGGAGTTTTATTTTAGGTATTGCTGTCCTTAAGAATATATATTTGCGGTATACGTACCAAAAACCATCTCAATATATTTTTACAGCTCTCTCAGGAGCTCTGCTGAGAACAGGTCGATTTTGGTCTGTCTAATTAATACTCATGAGCCTCTCTTCTGATTGGCCTGTTGTTTTCTGAGTGACGCACGGCCAGGGCAACCACAGGTAACTAGGGTTAGCCAACGTCACAGAGCTAGCTGGAGGCAGCAAAACAAAGGGGAAACTGGAGGCGGCCCATTCAAACCAGCGCAGATTCGGCTACATAAGGAGCTTAAAATATCATCTTGATGTGATGTTGGGTGCCGGAATCGACATAATGCAGCCTCAAATTAGAAACTTGATCGCATATCTGCTGCCACTGCCAGATTGGTTAAAGTTAACCTTTTCGACATGTTTCCGTGTTGTTGTTGCTCAGCAGTGGCATGGACGTGATGTTGTCTGGGGGTTTGGCAAAAGGAGAGTGGGATGGTGGGCAGTGCTCGGGGTGGTGATTGAAGGCAGTGACTGTGTAGTTCTGATGTCAACTTTTTACGGAAGTCACAATGGTTTGTGAAAAATCACAGCTACTTTATGCAGGCTGTGTGCATTTTACTGTGGACTGACTGTTTTGAAACTAATTTGGTAGTTAAATAGCCCCTAGACCTCAGTTATCGTGAAAAAAGCCAGGAAATTTCAGTTTTGACAATATGAGACCTTTAATATGGTGCTGTCACATTATGCGACTCGGTTTTATCA